AGAGAGAGAGAGAGAGAGAGAGAGAGAGAGAGAGAGAGAGAGAGAGAGAGAGAGAGAGACAGAGACAGAGACAGAGACAGAGACAGAGACAGAGACAGAGACAGAGACAGAGAGAGAGAGAGAGTTTGAGAGAGAGTTTGAGAGAGAGAGAGTTTGAGAGAGAGAGAGAAAGAGAGAGAAAGAGAGAAAGAGAAAGAGTTGACTGGAGCTCGAGAGTTTGAGATAGAGTCAGCGCGCCAGAGAGAGCTCAGGGCAGAAAGAAAGAGGAAGCTTTGCATCAGAGCACGCCCGCTGGAGCGCAAGACGAAGGCAAGATCCTCAGGAAGAGGAGACTTGGGTCGTTGGTCTCAAGTCAAATTTTCGGTACACACAAGAGCAAGAGGATTTGGCGTTTATACATGTGTCGGAGAAGCACTGGCGATACCACCGGATGGCAGTCATGTTGAGAGAAGAGAGAAATTAAAACGTCGCGGGTTTGTCAATTAGATGTGCGTTCAATCACGAATGGGCACGGCCGGGGTTTGGGATACTATCGCTCAGCGACATTGCGTGTAGGGGACTAGGCATGCTAGTGTTCAGCCTCAGGCTCAGTCGGAAGGGTCTCCACCTCGATGCGCTGACCCGTTTTGGTCTGGAGCTGCGTCAACAGACGCTGCAGAACAATGTCGGCAAAGTCTGGCAACACCTCCAGCTGGGCTTCGCCCGTACTCGAGTCCACCTCCGCCCGCTGTATCAGCCGACGCGAGGTGCAGTTGCCCACCAAGCCCACCAAGCCCACCCGGTGCTGCCCGCCACACGCCACCATCTGTTCCACGACATGCTCTGCCGTCAAGCGCGGCCCCTTTTCACCGTTGGCGCCCCAACCCGCCCCAACCCGCGGGACTTTGATCCGCAACAGCGCTGGGCGATACCAAGGATCATCTTCCAGGCGCGGCCGACACCAGCAGCAACAACACACGTAGCGTAGCAAGCAGTCGCACGCAGCCGTGTGGTCTGAAGTCACCCAGTTGCTACCGTACCGCGACATCCTGACGCCAATTGAGATGAGACACCAGCCAGCCTGCGCCCACCACTGCTCACCACACGTGCTCGTCTCCAATGCCTATGCCCAAGCGCAAGGTCTCCGACGCTATGATCAGTTCGGAGAGAGGTCGGCTGTCGATCGACTCCTCCGCCGAAAAAAAAGCAAAAAAGTGAAAAGGCTCCAAAAAACAAAAACAAAAAAACATTCAAGGTGAGAAAGCACTTTTGCTTTTATGTTTAAACTTATAACATTTACTCTCGCCAACGGTCATACCACATGGAATACACCGGCTCTCGTCCGATCGCCGCAGTTAAGCCATGTTGGGCCATGCTAGTACTATCGTGGGTGACCAGATGGGAATACATGGTGCTGTTGGCCTTGTCTTAATTTTTTTTTTTACCGCTCCGTCTATTTTTTGTTGCTCTAACTACATGCATGCAATATAAGACTTTCTCTTCTTTGGCTTTGACCAGGCAGGGCCCATCCCTACCTACTGCTGCTGCTTTTGCACCGAGGAGGCGCGCGTGTCATTTGCTTTGACCAGGCAGGGTCCATCCCTTCCTACTACTGCTGCTTTTGTACCGAGGAGGCGCGCGTGTCAATCAGGCTGTAAGCTTAAGAATTTCAATTGCTTTCATGTATTCAAGGCTCAAGTTGTGACTTCTTCCAAAGTCGGCTCGGCCTGCTTGGGGAGGCTCCATGTTGGGGTAGGAAGTAAACTGCTTATCGTGCCACGTAGCCACCGTCCACAGCGATCACGTGGCCAACGACAAAGCTGGCCGCATCACTGCCAAGCCACAGGACGGCCGCGGCCACCTCCTGGGCAGTACCCAAGCGCTTGATGGGCACATCCCGCATCATGTCTTCGATGACGCCCTTCTCGGCCTGCTTCATGCCTGCCACCATGGGCGTGTCAATGATGCCGGGAGCCACAGCGTTCACGCGGATACCCTGCGCAGCATACTCAAGCCCGGCTGTCTTGGTCAGTCCATGGATGCCGTGCTTGGCTGCATGGTAGGCGGCGCGGCCTGGAACGCCCACAAAGCCACCCAGAGACGAGTTGTTGACGATGGAACCAGAGCCCTGCTTGCGCATCTGGGCCAGCTCGTACTTCATGCATGTAAAAACGCCCCGCAGGTTTACCGAGAGCATGCGGTCAAAGTCCTCGAGCTTGACCTCGGCCAGCTCCAGGGCATCAGCTTGGATGCCTGCGTTGTTGAAGGCCACGTCCAGGCTGCCAAACTCTGACACCGCGCGCTGCACGGCCTGTTCCACGTCCGCCTCCTTTGAAACGTCGCAGACCACGGCCAAGGCACGGTGGCCAGCATCCGTCAGCTTTTTCGCCTCGTTCCTCAACGCCTCCTCGTTGCGATCGACCAACACCACGTTGGCACCTGCCTGGGCAAAGCCCTCGGCGGCAGCCAAGCCCATGCCTGATGCTGCGCCGGTCACAAAGGCCGTGCGGCCACTGTAGTCGTACTTCAACGCCATCCTGTCGTTTAAATGCTCTTCAGCTATGCTCAAGTCACACAAGCTAGCAATTTAAAGAAAAAATGCGCCCACAGTTCGAGTCTAGCCCGCCTGCTCACACCAGGCCGCTGCCAACCTAGAACCAGCTGCCTCACACAAGCCTTCTTACGCTGGAGCCTTTTGTCATCATGATGACATTGATCAAGGCACTTTCGACGTTTTTGGGACACTTCTGTCAGGGCCTGGGATGTTGTTGTAAACTGCTGTTGGAGGTTGAGTGACAGAAGCAGAAGCAGGTGTGCTGCGATCTCAAGGCCGTAGCATCAATGGCGCTGCTGCGTTCCGGTTGACACTGAGCAATAAAATTCACTCCTTTGTATCACAAAGACACGTTGAGCACCAAGCACGCTCTCCATTATTTTCATCTTGACTCTGCTCCATTGTTGTTGTTTCATATTATGACTGCTTGCATCGTGCCTGCTTGTAAGCGTGCGATCACAAGCAGGCACGACCCAGTCCGAACCAAAACCCAACCTTTCTACAGCTTGTGAAGCAAATGCTCCAGTTGTTGTCGTGTCATTCAACACTACCGTGATCATCGCTTTTTCAGATGAAAACTTATTGCTGTACTTTGGGGATTCATTGTGGCCACCAGGGTACTTTAAGCCTGCTTGTGTCGTGCAGTCGCGTTGCTCGCTCGATCCATGTCAAACAGGTTTATTTTCCATTTTTTTTTTTTGTAGAAAGGGGGTTGTTTGAATTGCCTGGCAGTGCACGTAGTCTGCTTCTGCCGAAGATCTGGCTTGGGCCTTTGACTCCACCAAGCTATTTTGCTGGTGGGGTACTGACTGACATAGAGTCTTTCCAGGTCTGCTGCACTGATCTTTTTGTTATGATCCCCCACGGCAGACGACAACGTGTCGATCAAGCGCTGCGCGCTATCTCGCGGCTGGCAGGCATCGGTTAGTACATTGATTTGCCTTTGCAGGTCCTGAAGGGAAACCAAGACTTGCTGTCTGGCAGCCGGTACGGTTTGGCTTGTTCTTGTCCAATGGTCGGCCAGTCCGCCATCAACCAGTCCAACGTCCCGCTGCTGGGCAGCCATGGTTTCAGAAGCTCATTTGATCGGTGATATTTGACGCAGAAGATTTTTTGTTACGAACACGCCACGATGAGTTCCGAAGGGGAGGAGCTGTATTATGCGTGTGGTGCAAGCGCACAGAGAGCGCTTCAACTTTTGGAAACTTTGCATCACATTCAATCCGCGGCTGCTTACACCAGACATGTACGTTTGCGATTGAAAAAAAAAAAAAAAAATGCTGTTTTGTTGCCTTGCACGACACCCCAATGGCGTGTTTGGATATGAAGGAGGTTGGTCTCAGATGGTGCCGCAGACACATTCATTCTTTTTTTTCTTCAACATGCGAGCAGAATGGCAACACACCCCTGCACATGGCCTGTGTCATGGGTTTTATGGAGGTAGTGAAGATCTTACTGAAGCACGACGCTGATCCCAACGCCAAAGGCTACGTCAGTGTGACCTTTTTTCTCAGCGCTTTGATGTCGTCACAAACACGTTTTCGTGTATGATTTTGTATGGCTCATCTTGATGCTCTGAATATATTGCTTTATGAACATCTGGTGGGGCCGGCAAACAATCAACAGGAAGGCAGTACCCCTCTTCACAATGCTTGCCGTAGCGGCCACATGGAGCTGGTTAACATCCTGTTGCTACACAAAGCTGACACTGACATCAAAGACCACGTGAGAACCACAACCTGTCCCTACGTTTCTACTCCTCACCTCAACTTTGGTGCATTCGAGCACTTCCTCCAGCTGCAACATGATTCAATTGCACTTTGCTGCTCGTGTCCCGCATGGGACTGCCGCTGTGGGCCCATAGAGCGGCCAGACGCCTCTTGACTTGGCGCATGAAAGCAAGTATGTCGACGGCTTGAAGTCCGTATTCGCCGCCCACGGGGTCCGCTTTGCAGGGCCTCCCAATCCTGTTCCTCAGCCAGGGTCAGAAGCGTCACCCGTGTGGCTACCGCCCTTGCCTAGCCCCGTACCCACCTTGCAGGTGAGCCAACCCAACCTCCTGCTTTTCTTGCGTGGGTTCCGCTGTTATCCATCCCTTCGTCGGACCTAGTCACGATCAACGACACCACGTGTCTCGAATAGACTGTGGCCTCTGCTCTAGTGGCAGTAGAAACTTGCCTCAAGCCTTTTCTACCCCAAGCGACGACCAGTCATCCTCTCCCACACCTTGATGCCTTTGTCGTTGGTGCGATGAAACATGATCCCCAGCTCAGAACGGCGGTTGCAAACATTCAAACCATCATCGACGGAGCGCCACTCGACTTGACAGATGTGGACTGGACCACCTTCAAGAAGATTATCACCCAGGCCACTTGCGCGCTCGATCAGGCACTGCAAGCGCCCAAAGCGTTGAACAGCCGCTTGAGCCAGCTGGGTTTGACCGTCGACAATCTAGAATCGGTAATCAAAGATCTACATGGTTGTGCAAACCAGTTTGATCTGAAGCCGGCACTTCTCGAGCTCCAAACCGTACTGGCAACATGTCCCGCTCCGTCTGCGCAGCCTGCCACGGTGCCTGAGGCGCCACCGACGGACCTTGCAGCGGCCCTGGACATGGTTGCCACACTGCATGGCGCTAGCTGGGATCGTCAAAAACTGCTAACCAACATTGATAGCAACCTCAAGCGCTTAGTGTGGGCGCACGTCCGGCACAGGATGCCTTTTCCTTTGGCTGCGTTCTCTACAACACCTACATGTTTTCGCAGACAGTACCTCCTGCTCAGTTGGCAACGGATCAGGTGGTGGAAAGGTGTAGCTGGAACCCACGGGAGCAAGGGCGTGCATGCGACTTTCCACATCTTGCTGCTGAGGTTGGTATCAGCTGCCCCTGAAAAGCATATCATGATTAGGTTTGCATGATATCTCATATTCGCTTGTAGATGTGTAAGCAAACGAATGACCTCTACAAGGAAACGCGTGCTCTGCTTTCGTCTGAACCAAAGCAACGGCCAAGCCTTTTGAGCGCTACCGTGCAAGTCAAGTTGCCTATCCAAGTCGGAAAGGCCTGGTCAGCCATTGAAATTCTGCGTGATGCACCCGAGCTAATCCCTGAGGTACGACTGTTTATTCTCACAGAACACGACGAATTGAGCGTTGCGCGATACAGCCGATTGGCTTGATTGATGGACTCGCATCCCTGGCATGGTAGTACGGCTAGGTGACCGAACTTCTAACGCGACTGAACGACGATGAAAATGGGTTGGCAAGCATCAGCGTCCAGCGCGTCCAGAACCCCGTATTGTGGGAGCGCTACAATGCCAAGCGACGTGAGATGTTGGGAAGCATCATCTCACATCAAAAACACTACGATCAACTCAAAACGGCCACAATGGAAGCGCTGTCAGGCCAGCCTATTCTGCTCCGCGACAAACCCTGTCAAGAGCGCCTGCTTTTTCACGGCTTTAAATTTGACCTTCCAAGGCGTGACAAGATTGTACGCCTGGGCCTTGACTGCCGCTTTGCCGGCGAGAGCTCTTGCCATCGATATGGTTATGGCATTTATCAAGCCGATCATCCCGTCAAAGTAAGCAAGAATATTGATACCCTTGTACGCATCGATGCCAGCCCTCCTCCCGGCACTCATCCTGGAATGACGGACAGGCGCACCTTTACACAAGCCCCGGAGACAAAAAGGTGCACATGTTGATCATCACGCGAACTCTGCTGGGTCGTGCCCACGTCACCCAGAGCTTCTCCTCTACAAGCCTAGCTCCGCCGCTTCTCGCGCCAAACGACTGCAACAATGAAAGGCAGGTGGAAAGACGTTATTTGCGGCTTGATGCCGACCCTCTCTGCCTCATCATGCTTTCTATCTCGTTAGGTATGACTCGGTCATTGTTAATGGACCTCGAGCATTTCGTGAAGTTATCATTTTTGAAAATGCTCAGATCTATCCAGAGCTGGTCATCTACTATACGGTCTAGTCGTGCTTGTGCTTTGATCATTCTGTCAATCGAGCCGTTGGTGAGTCACATCTCAAATGGGAAAACGCAATCAAAGTGCAGCAGCTATAAAAGAAGCCACTAGTCGTGATGGAGTTTGAAGGGTTTGGAAAGATGCATGTCCGGGCAGAACGACAGGACAAGGGTGCTGGAGCTCCACACCGACCTCCTATGTATCAGCGTTTGCTCGTACCTGGAGCCTCTCGCCCCGGACCTGACGTTGGCCTCTACGCAGTCATGCCCGACGACGGCACAGCCTTTACCATCCAAGAGGCGGTCATCCCCAATTTCGCAGCATGCCCCCACGGTGTTGCATGAGGGACTCAGCAGCAGGACGGAATGCTTTTAGGAGCAAGCGGTGCGGATGTTGCACCCGAATAGTTGTGCCTCTTCAATGCGACGTGTCCTTGCCATTAAAGGACTCTTTTTTTCCCCCAAGGGTTTTGCCGATGTTGAGCTGCGAGAGTAGCCAGCGACGAGCTTTGTTGGTTGCTTGCGCTCATGCTCACGCGCTTGCAGTGTTCACACGCTCATGACATGTGAAACCGTCATTCAGCTGTTCAAAGCTTTTTCGTTGGTGTTGTGATTGTTGTTGCTGCTGCTGTTGCTGCTGCTGCTGTTGTTGTTGTTGTTCTTTTCGTACTGCTTGTATGATTTGACTGTCATTTTCTTTTGACTCCTTCTCCAATTTGCGTCGTGGTGCTCCTGCGCTGGCTGCTCCTGTGTGAATTCAAACCTGATTGCGTATGCTTGTTTGCTTGAGGATCAACGCGGTGAACAACTGGTTCTTGGCGCTTGTGGCGACGCTAGAGCGTGTGTGGTCGAGGTAAGTCGCGTCGGACGCTGCCTTTTCTTTTTTCTTGTTTTGGTTTGTGATAGCATTGTCCCTTTCCCCCGCCTCACATGACGCTGGTCAACGCCGTGCGCTGTGCAAATGAAGAAGGGCATATCGACAACACCGGTGGATCAAGGTGAGCAGCTTGCGCTTCAATTCAGCTGATCAGGAAGGGAGTGAGCAAGGCTCTGCTGTTGGTTGGCCAGCTGCCGTTTTGGAGATTTTTTTTTTTTTTTTTTTTTGCGCTTGTCCAATGTCAGACTCTTTTTTTTTTGTGCAACAATACATTGTTGTAGCTGACATTGTGATGAGTGCTCAGAGTGCTATAGGGAGTTTGATGGCGACCCGTGACCATGAGTTTGGACGATGGATATCAGCTGCACAGGGCGTGTGATTCATCGGATCCACAAGCGGCGCTGCGGTTGTTGGAAAGCTGGGATCAACAGCGCATTCAAGCCGCTGCCGTCTACAAAGATGAAGAGGTGCGTGCCATGTTGGTTGAGGTGTCTGTGTCACTGATTCTGGGAACGTGCAATTCAGATCACGATGTTGATTTGACGAAGAGCTGCATGTGTGCTACTGTGTGTGCGTGTGATGGTGCCCACAGCTTGGCTATACGCCACTGCACTACGCCTGCGACAATGGCCATCTGGGAGCGATCGTGGTGGTGTTGGAACACGGCGCTGATGTTCAAGCCAGGAATATTGTCAGTATCATCCCCCGACTGCTTTCTTTTGTATGATGTAGAACGCTTTTGTCGTTGGTCTGCATGCGCCTGCTTGTGAAGCAGGTGGTCATCTCAACATGATGGGGCACGTTGATGCTGTGAACACGTAGGGTGGCTTTGCGCCACTGCACTATGCCAGCGGCAGAGGTCGTGTGGACGTCGTGAACGTGTTGTTGGAGCATGGCGCTGATGCCGACGTCAAAAACATTGTCAGTCCCTTTCGCCTCTTGTTACTCTCCTTTCGAGCCCAACGCTTCCCTCTTCTCGACGTCTAGCTGGTTTATGGATGGAAGATGGAACTCACGATGGTAATAACCTGGCCATGTTGCAAACACGTCTGGTGGTGGTGATGGCTGTTTGAATCGACCTTCAGGGTGGCACGACACCACTGTACTATGCCTGTACCACAGGCCATGTGGGGGTGGTGGAAACGCTACTGAAGCATGGCGCTGAACCCGAACCCAAGAACGAGGTCAGTACTCCCATTTTCCCTGCCACGTCTTTAATCTTGGCTGGCCGCTTCTTTCTCCCTGTTGCTCTGCACGCGGTGCTGGCTCGCCAGCTGGTTTTGAGATTTATTTCATCATCTGTCACGCATGCGACTCGACGTCCGTGGGTGTACCGTGGTGAATCAATTCACAGAATGATGTCACGCCATTACATGGTGCCTGTTCGCTTGGACACGTGGAGGTGGTGAAAACGCTATTGAAACATGGTGTTGATGCTAACGCCCAAGACAAGGTCAGCGCCACCGTTTTTTTCCCTTGCTTCTCTTTGTTGATCCTCCTGCTTCCCTCTTGTTCTGGGTCTGGATCGAGGACCACTATTGTTTCCCTGCTTTTTCTCAATGTGATCTTGTGGGTCACGCCGATGCTGCCGCCGCACATGTGTCGGCTGTCTTGGTTGTGTTGTGGTGGTGTGTCGGCGTACAGTGTGGCATGACGCCATTGAACAATGCCTCCTCCAGCGGCCACGTGGAGGTGGCTAGTGTCTTACTGCAGAGCGGCGGTGATGCCGAAGCCAAGGATGAGGTCAGCATCCTTCGTTGCCACGCTGCTCTTGTCAATGCCGGCAGTTAACGTCTGAATGTTGTCTGTGTGTCATGTGTATACACCACCTGGTGTGATCGTTATGATTCTTTTCGGGGGGTGTATGCTGATGCTGGAACCACGTGCGTGGTGGTTATGCCGGTGCTTCAATCCACAGCACGGCAGTACGCCTTTGTACGGTGCCTGTTGCAATGGTCATATGGGGGCGGTGGAGGTGTTACTAACGCACGGCGTGGATGCCAATGCCAATGATGAGGACGGTCATACACCATTGTACGGTGCCTGTCGCAATGGCCATGCTGGCGTGGTGGAGATGTTGCTGAAGCACGGCGTTGACGTCGGAGACAGGGGCGGCAATATGTCATTGTATGCTGCCTGCTGCAATGGTCATGTGGCGGTGGTGGACATGTTGCTGGAACACGGTGTTGATGCCAATGCCAAAACTGAGGACGACCGTACACCAATGTACGGCGCCTGCTGCAATGGCCGTGCGAGAGTGGTAGAGGCGTTACTGCAGCACGGCGGTGTTGATGCCAGTGCCAAGGATGAGGTCAGCCCCATCCTCCTTGCCGCACTGCTTTTGTTTGACGTTGATAGCTTTCGTCTTTCTTCTTTTACCGTGCATAAGAAGTGCATGTGCCATCATCTGATTTGGGCCTTATATCCTCATGCCTTGGGCATGCTACATTTAACGATGGCGATCAACTTTAGGCTGGTGATACGCCACTGCATTATGCCTGTACCAAGGGTCATGTGGAGGTCGGCGAGGTGCTGCTGACGCGTGGCGTTGACATCCAGGTTAAAAATTGGGTTAGTCACAACTGTCGCCTTCTACCCTACGTTTGGAACTCGATAGATTTCGTCTTTCTGCTGGTCTGCATGTCGTGCGTATTTATTGGCAGGATTAAGTGCAGCTCATCATGATGTCGGCATCCCTGCAACTACATTTGTGATGGTGATGATAATGATGAACCAACCCACAGGGCGGCAAAACGCCACTGCACCGCGCCTCCTACCATGGCCAGGCAGAAATTGTGCGGATGCTGCTGTTGCGCGGCGCTGATGCTCGAGCTACAGACGAGGTCGGTCCCTTTTTTTTCTTCTTTTTTTTTTCTCGTCGTCATGTCGATGTCTTCCCTCGCTCCCGTGTGTCAAGAAGCAGGCATGCATCATACTTGCATTCATCTTGACATAATGCCGTATGATATGACATCGCTACCACCCCGTATGGTGATGGTGGACGAACTGACAGCGTCGCAATACACCGCTGCACGACGCTTACATGAGAGGTCATGGGAAGGTTGTGGATATGCTGTTGCATGGCGCTGGGGCTCAAGATGAGAACACTGTCAGTCCCACTCGCTGTGCTCTTGTTGCTATTTGTTTGATGTCGATAATCGTCTCCCCTTTGGACTTGATTGCGATGGCGTTGGCGCATCAGGGTCTCATCATGTGCGTGTTTGGCGGCCGTTGTGATTTGGCCTTAAGGATGGCAATACCCCATTGCACCAGGCCTCTTTCAAAAGCCGCATCAAGGTGGTCAAGATGTTATTGGAGCACGGCGCCGATCCTGAAGCCAAGAATGGGGTCTGTGCCGTTTTCCTCCTGTCCGCGATCACGACTGCTTCCTTTGTTCTCCCTCTCGGGCTGCAGGGCTGCATACGGTGCCTATCCACCAGCTGGTATGATATGCATCTCTCACTGTGCTGTGGGCATCTATAACTCCACGTTTGTATTTGTACTGGTGCGGTGGCACATCCACCCCATAGAATGGTGACACACCATTACATGATGCCTGCCTTTATGCAGATGTTGGGGCGGTTGAAGTAATGCTAGACCACGGCGCGGATTCAAACGCTCTGGATAAGGTGAATGCTCAGCCTGTTTTGCTTGAGGCTTTCCTCTCTCCTATGGCGACCGCATTCCTGTTGTTCCCGTTTGATCTGTACGCACACGGCACTCCCATTATTACCACAATGCTTTTTGTCTCATGTTGGTATTTTGTTCACAATCACGTCGGTTATGATGGTGTTGTTCTTGGTGTCCGAACCGGATTGTGACCCGATAGCTTTTCAGAACACCCCTGCATCAGGCCTCCATTCACGGCCATGTAGAGGTGGCAGAGGTTTTGTTGAAGCGCGGCGCTAACACCAAAGAAAAGGATTCGGTTAGTAGCAACTTTTATCGACGCCCTGCTCTTATTTATGATCCCAGTCGTATCACAAGCCAGCCAAGAAGAGAGACGAAGGCCTTCAGCATCACTATCGTTCGTCTTATCACGCCAATGATGACACTGCACTTTGGCCGTTTCTGATGACGACAGTATGGCAGGACGCCATTCCACGTTGCCTGTTATCACGATCACCCGAGG